CGCAAGAATCTTCAATAATGTTACGATGAATTGTTAGTACGAAAAATCAGCAACAAGAGGGGTTGTATTGATTACCTCATCCCGACTCCGACTCTATCCACCATCATGATATCCTTAATAAGTTCATCCAATTCAGGCCCTTTAGGATTACAGCATAACGTCTAGTTCACTGGTGTGTAGGATAAAAATAGAAAACCTTTATTTGAAAATATAATAAAACATTACTATATTCTATAACGAGACTGCTCAGCAAGCCTTTAGCTTCTGGCAAACAGTTTCTGGTGCATGTCCAGATTCAAGGAAGTGCTTAATTGCCGGGATATCTCTGCTTGCGATAGCTTTACATTCCATTTCACCATACGGCAAGAACTTCAACATCTCCTTACACGGGAGCACGAAAATCTGAAGAACTTCTTCTAAAGTCAGAAGAAACTTCATCCGCCTGGATGTAGCTAGTATTCGTTGAAAAAATGTAACGGATAACAACCAACGTTCTCGATTTCCGGTAGTGTTTTATCAAGCATTTGAACAACTATCTGCACGGCTTCTTTACAAGAGTGTACATATTGTTGGATCGACATTCGGTATGGGAACCGGTTCGGAGAGAGCGCAGGCAACTACCACGATGGTTGCCAAAATTAGAAATTTCATTCTGAAACGATTTATTTCGGGGAAGCTCGATATGAGACAAGGTAGTAAGAGAATAATGCTATGGGAAGAGAGCACAGGGCTTCTACACCATGGCAGTAATATATACGGGCAAAATCACTCAAAATTCTTATCAGCGAATGGAGTCTCTCATCCGTCTGTTGAATGCTTGACGCAGTTTGCTAAAAACAACAGCCAGACGTGGAGGTGGAAGTCGTTATCACCTTTTGTTTGGACGTCATCTTTATCACAATGAGTCACTATGCCCTTTGCGGTCTTGGCTCAAAAATGAACGTGACTAGCCACAAACGTTAACGGTTGGCCCCCCATATCACCTTGTGGACGCAGTTTAGTGATAGCAGAGATTAATCCTTCAATCGGATGCCAATTGCACGTTTGACGTCGAATCCATACTGAACCACCTTGAGTGTGCTCAAGAAAACAACTTCTATGTAGTCGGAGGCGTACTGCCACTGATCGTGAGGTCGGTGTTGTACCAATGATGATGATGATTTGACTTGTAGTGGTTTACTGTTTGCGAAAAAATGCAGAAATATCAGAGCAATTATTTGTTTGTTTAATTTTTTTCTAGCAAGTGATCGTTTTATTGCCACCCACGCCATGCCCATTATCACTCCGGTTGGAGGTACTGACGTGCAATTTTTCAGTCTGATGTCATCTGGCTTCTTATCTTTATTGTTCCTCAAGGACTATTTCCGTGCAGTTGTTTTTATGATTCTTATCTATATGACCCTTGATACTTATTTCCTGTTACAGTAGGTCCTCTGCTCAACGATTCTGACTTCAAAAACAAGCATTAAGAAGCAGTGATAATAAATTTCAGGTCTCATCGGACGTTTGGCTTAGTTTGACAGTTTTATGAAGGCTTAGGGTAGTGCAGTGCTGAAGTCGCCGTGACCAACCTCCATATCTAACGTGTTCTTGCCCAACCATAAGGCCGATGTCAGACTTTGCGAATCGCGCGATTCGCTACTAGCGATTCGCGCGATTCGCTAGCGTCCGCGGTCGCGTTGCGGTACCAGCCAATTGAGTGATTCACTGGCCGCGACGCGACCGCAGACGCTAGCGAATCGCGCGATTCGTA